CAGCTGCAACAACGGTAATGACAGCCTGCCAAAAGGCTCAGCACAGCTCGGGACCGTCTGACAGAATCAAGTACTCGTTGAACGTTTCCGCTCACGGACTGTCTTTCAGTGCTGCCTCGAGATTCCTGTCACTTCCAGCTTAATGAAAATGGACATTTCCTTTGATTTCTGGCCACCATCTTTCCCAGAAATGAATCGCCGTTGCTCTTTTCAGTGAATCTGGAGCACTGACAGATTTGATTTCACGATATTTAAAAATCAGATGTTGTACTCTTGCCTGTCAAGCAAGCTTTGGAAGTATTATGAGAGTCTTGGGTGTAATTGTGGTTGAATCAAATTATTAAAACTAAAGGATGTTTTTCAGAGAAGTCAAGCTTGATCAGTTTTATGGGCATGATGGAAGACAGATTTCCAAATGAAGCAACCACTTGATGAAGCTGATGTGGACATTCACCAGCTAATCAAAAACCCTCTCCGAGGAAATCGCACACGGCACTTCATCCAGACACTCCACTGAAACCCTGAAGACAGAAAACATTTCCCAGTGCCCTGATCATGCGGCGTGTCAAAGCTGGTTGGAACATACCTCATCTGATTGCAAATCAGTTTGCAAACCTCTTTGCAAATCAGAGCAAAAGGGTCAATTATTTTTGTTAGATTGCAACGGCGAAAAAGAAAGTTTATTGGGTTTCCTCTTTCAGTATTGATGGGGACAAGGCAGGGAAAGGGATCCAGACAAACACCGACTGCAAAGAAAAATATAACCAATGAAGGATTAGTATGGGTCCAACTGCAGTTCTAAGATGTAGGGTCGCCCAGAGGAATCTCTGGAGAGCTTGGGGGGTGGATGTTCACATGCAAGGTCTGTAGGTCCATCTTTAAAAAAAAAATGTCTTGATTTCTTCCTATTTACATTTGAGAAAGTCTGTGACTGGCAGGAATTTACTCAGCCTGGGGTGGCAGGCTTGTGATTGGGAGAGCCAGGCCCCCCCTATTCCGGGCCTGGATGGGAACCCCCTGAGATGACCATACTCCTTAACCCCTTCATATTTCATAGTCTACTCTCACTGTTGCTAACCTCCTGAGACATGACAGACCCTGTATTTCTTGGTATGTTTTCAGCCTCCGGGACCTACTAAACTGCCAACGCTTGGGGAGTTGAAGGGCAGATCAGCCCCGGTTATGGGCCTGATTCAGATCTCACCATGAGTTTTTATGACTCACATGACTCTTGATTCATTACTGCGGCCTGCCAGACTATACACGATCGCCCCCTTCCCTTCGCTGGTGATCAGTCACCCTGATGAAGGACTGAGTTAGTGGCTGCATAACGGAGAATGCCGAGGGAGTCTGGGCATAGATTCAGAGACTCAACGTGTGTTGGCTGCCTTATCCTGCAGTCTCTGGCGAGCTGGTCTTCAGTTATCATCTTCACGTACGGGGAAAAATATGCTGCATCTTCAATAATATATCTTTAAAGTCTCATATTAATAGGATGTTTGGTATCTGAAAGCATACGTAGTGTTTTGCGGATGTGGCAGTGGGTATGTGGGATTTTATCCAGAACTACAGCTAGACTCCAATTAATAGAGGACTCCGTTGTCTGCCATGTCCTGTCAGTGGCTGGAAAACGGGGATGACAGTGAGCTTCCCAGCACACAGGAAAGCTTAGGTGCCTTAGTGATACTACAGGATAAATACTTTGGGGTGATGGGGGTTGGGGTTGCGCCTCGATCAGCTAGGCACAGATCTCGTGGCAGGCAGACATACCCAACTCAACATTGGCACACTGTGCCTCGAGGCCGGGGCATTCTGGAGCGAAATGGGAAATCAAGTTCAGCACAGAAAAAAAAAAACAATATTTATCTCTATTTCCTCTAGCGATCTAAGCAGGAGTACTGATTCCTTATACAGTTAAAAAAAATTCCCTGACACAATGGGGAAGGAGTGCAGACACACACACACCCACACAGACACACGCACACACACACACAGACACACACACACCCACACACAGACACAGACACACGCACACACCTACACATATGCGCACACACACACACAAACACACCCAAACATATGCAAGCACGCACATGCACACATACACACACACCCACACACACGTGCACACACACACACACCCACACACACGTGCACACATACGCACACACCTACACATATAGCTAAACACTCAGCTGGCTCTGACAAACCATTTCACACCAGAATTTTTTCCTCCATTATTTATTTATTTATTTGATTAATTTGCACACCCAACTAAGCAGTTGTTTGACGTAAACAGCAGCTCAGTGAATCACAAACCTCAGAGGCAGTCAGCTTTTCAAACCTCAAGATGAAGATCATTCATAATTCAGATTATTTACAGGCTAGCATTTCATCTCCCTCCCGCACAAAACCCCCAACTGTGTAACCTGCCAGGCTTTGACCTTCCTTCACACTGTACGCCTTCTGACCGCTCGCAGTGACCGCTCGCAGTGACCGCTCGCAGTGACGCCCGCCACCTCGAGCACTGCACAGACTGCTCCCCTGGACACATAAAGAATGCTGCCTACATGCTGAGACATGATTTCAGCACATCTGTCTTGTGTCCATCACAGGGGCATCAGAAATATCGGGGATGGGGGGGGGGGGCGTGCAGACCCTCCCCCCACCGTGAATAAAATAACTAAAAGTGTGTCCCTTATCTTTTGTTGTTAATCTATGCATTACTAAGGCCAATTTGCTACACAGGCAGAGCGCAAGGATAAAACATACAAGAAGACTGCAATCCTGTAAGACAAAATCATTTTATGATATGGATCAGTTATTTTTTTAGTTTTGTTTGTAGTAAAACTCTACACAGTGTTAGTGTTAAAGTTAGCGTGTTAAATGATGAAACCTTTATTATTCTAAAATCCTTTCACTGTGTGACTGTTGCATGTGCGCCCATTATGATCTTATGATATACATTGCACACCCCGCACACTGTCAAACTTATCCTGTAGTATCACTAAGGCACTGGTCCATCCATCCACACACCCACCCGCTTATCCTGGTTAGCACCACAGTGTAATATTTCTCATCTATTTCACTTACTGCATGAGGTTAATTAAGGCATCATTAGTGCTTGTATCAAAATGCACAAAAATCCGCACGTCAACAAAGCTGGCTTGATGAAGTGTACTTGGGGGGGGGGGTTCTTCCATTAGTATCACATTTGATTATGTCTTGCGACTTTTTCCTCATGACAACATAGGTTTGGGTTCTCAGTTGCATTGTTTGTGTTTCGGCAACATTGCGGCTGGAGACAGCATAGGATGGCATCGTTGTTTACATTCCTGATTCTCAAAACTAGAGC